CAATTTCCTCCTAGTACCGATTGTAAAGTATGTACTATTAACTTGCCAGACCGCCATTTAAATAGAATGGATGTATGATTGTTAGCCAAACAATCTATACTAAACCCAAATCCAATAATATTAATATTCTTTTCTCCAGTTTGCAGACGATTTCTCAGAGTAAGTTGTAATCGAACTAAAAGGATTATTGGAAAGCTTCCATAAGATAAATTAGCATCTTAAGCTCCATCAGTGGTTTTAATATGTTATGTAAATATTTATTAATGGTTCTTAAATTTTGATTACTTACTACATTATTGCTTTGTAGCTTCATATTTATCAACATAAATATTCAACAGATGCTTTATTTATGCAAGTTTTGAGACATGATTTATTTCATTAGATACTTACGGTAGCAATTGCGAACAAGAAAATGTCGAGTGATTATAAAATATTTTTGTCGACATTAAGAGTGCATCATTTGAGGTAGCAGAATTAAATTTTGTACATAAGTATTATGATCTAAATACTTAAGAATGACGTTAAAAAAGATTGCGTAGCTCGTACGATTACAGTTACGTAGACAAATTTTGAAATATCCGGATAGCACCCATTTTCTTTGATCGAAACGTAATTCTTACTGTAGAAAAACTAAAATGGAGTTGTCACAGTATTATTGGAGTAATTGTGGCTCTGGATTTTTACCATGCGTCGCCATTTTTTGTGATCACTAACGAGAAAAAAAGTGGTAAAAACATTTAAAAACCGAGAAAAATGACGAAGAATGTATTTTGCGTTTTAAAAATTTTTGACGTGCCCTCACTCGTCCGACGCGCCCTTAGTTTCTTTTTGTTTTTAAAGGTTTTTATCACGTTTTCTTCTTGTTAGTGGTCATGAAAAATGACGTCGCACTAAAAATACCGTTCTAAGTACAAACACATGCACCTTACTACGTATATATGCTGGATCGTTTGTCAAACTTCTGAATCTACTGATTATTGTCTTTAATCAGCTGAAATATTGTACCATTTCCACTTATTGTGCTTATTTACTACAAATGCACACCGGATTTTTTGGCCAGCGTCAGGGTTAAACCAACGACATGCAACCTTTAATTAGTGTATGCAGCTTACTACGCATTATATGTGCCGAATCTTCTGTCAAATTTCTTAACCTATAAAACAAAGTATTTAACCCCCGTAAGCTCTGTACTACATTCACCTTACAACGTATACCGGATTTTTAATCTAGCTTCAGGATAGAAGCAATGATATACGACTTTCAATAAGCACACGCATCTTTATGTGTACAAATATGTGCACCTTACTACGTATACATACCGGATGATTTGTCAAACTTTGAACCTACAAAATATCGCTTTCAACCACCTCAGGCACTGTATTACTTTCACCTTATTACGATTGTGCGCCGGATTTTAAGTCTAGCATCAGGGTTGAACCAATGACATACAACCATCCATGTACATGCACTTCACTATGTATATATAGTCACACTTCTTAACCTATAAAACCTAATTCTTAACTTCCGTAAGCACAGTACAACCTACACCTTACTATGCATACGCGATCGATTTTTAAATCTAGCTTCAGGGATGAGCAAACGGCATAAGATTTTTAATGAGTGTATGCAACTTAGTAAATAAAATTCATACACCTTACTACTTGCCGGATCAGTTAAAATTCTGAATTTATTTTGCAGTCCTTAAACTGTGCTTCAATCGGCTGCTCACGAACGGGATTTAAACATATATTTCTGATCATTTATTCATGCTATCAATAAGCCGTACTTACTAAAGAGCACACAAGCCTGAGCATGTATGTGTAAAAAATATGTAAAATAAATCATGCTATCAATTCGTTATGTAAATCGTGTAACTGAACCACTGTGATAAAGACTTCAACTAGAGTAAGGACCTTACTAAGTACACCTTACTGTGCATGCACGTAGTTTTTAGTCAAACATCGGAAGAAATATCATCTTCAATCACCGTACGCACTGTATTTCGCGCGAGTACGCTCATCTTATTACGCATATATGCCGGTTTTTTAGTGTAGATTTAAGAATGAATCTTTACTGAGCGTTTGCAAATTACTACGTACAAATACGTGCATCTTATAACTCATATATTCCGGTTCTTTACTGTAGATTTAAGAATGAATCTTTACAGAGTGTATGCACCTTACTACGTACGAATACGTGCTTTTTATTACGCACATATGTTTTTTTAATGTAGATTTAAAAATGTATCTTTACTGATCGTATGCACCTTACTACATACATCTTATTAAGCATATATGCTAGTTTTTTAGAGTATAGATTTAAGATAGAAATCTTTACTGAGCGTATGCACCTCACTACCTAAAAATAAGTGCATCTTATTACACATATATGCCGGTTTTTTAGTGCAGATTTAAAAATTAAATCTTTACTGTGAGTATGCACCTTACTACGTACAAATACGTGCACTTTACAATGTAAACATACCAGATCCTTAGTTAAACTTTGGGACTGAACCAACTATTGGGACTGAACCACATATTCTTCAAACATCGAGTGCATCTTTTTTTACGTCTACAACTCACATATGATATCAAACTTCAGGATCCAATCAACGGCTTGTTGCCTTTAAAGCAGCACTATAATTGGCTGCTTCACGAGCGGGATTTATACACACTTATGATCATTAATCATGCTATCAATAAGCCTTACTTTATAAGGAGAGCTCGCATGTGTAAGCCTAACAATGAATAAAATAAATCATGCTATAAATTTGTTATGTAAATTACACACTTATTTCAAGTGTCTAATAACCTGTTAATATCTTTCCTTGATCCTTTCTTCTAAAGCGCTCCAAAATTTTGACAAGCATCTTGAACGTCGATATCTTTTGATGAATTGCCCCACTTCAGTTTTAAGTTTGAAAACAAATTTTTTTTTTAACGAACTTGTGCAATCTTAACAAAGGAGCATAATCTTGAGAACTTTGTTCTCTCATGTATTGATCTTTAGGGAATTTTCAATGATTAATTAGGAAATTTAGATTAAATTATTAGATTCTCTGTTTATTTATTCGTAGTAAAATTTATTTCTGATACTACTGTAGGCAAAGGTAGGAGAAACAACAATAATAAATAACTGTTATAAAGCCTTATCTATAGTAAAAATAGCATGTTTCTCTCTCGATAACAGTATTTAATTTAACAGAGATAGCTGTTTTCAAAAGGTGTACTATTGAATCTTAGTGTTTCGTGTAAAAGAGTTCCGTGAGTTTAGCTTTTTTTTTTAACCAGTATTAATTTTTGAAACTTGTACTTAATTAGTATTCAACCAATAATTCATAATTTAATATTTTTGTTATTAAGAAACTATTTGTGTAAAATGTCTATTTTTTTTCACCAGTATTCATTTTTGAAACTTGTACTTTATTGGTATTCAACCAATAATTCATAATTTAATATTTTTGTTATTTTTAAGAAAATATTTGTGTAAAATGTCTATTTCATATACAAAATTTGATATAATTATGTAAATAAATTATATGCATTATTTGAAAATAATATACGAGTATTTTTCCTCATATATATGAGTATTTCCTATAATAATATATGAGTATTTTTCATTCTTAGTTCAAAATAACTAGATTCAAGAATAAAGAATTGTGTTTCTCTAATAATAGTTCTCGCAGTTTATAATAGTTTTTTTTTAGAAAACCATAAAATTCGGCTTATGTTATTTCAACTTGTGCCAAAAACAGAACTGAAAGCCACTCCAGACCTGTGAATTCAACGGCCTCACATAAGACCAAATTTTAGGATTGTTATTCTTAAAAAAGTAAAGAAAAAGTTGATTTTTCACGTTAAATGCATCCAAATTAGTTTGTTGTCTTTTTTTAGTTATTCTATTCACAGCTGCTAATAATCTTCATTTATAAGTCGGGATATATTAAGTCGGGGTTCCACCATAAAAGAGAAAACAAGTAATTTGGGAGAAGCGTGAAAATCTCTGTACTATTATTGACTCCAGTACTGGTTTAATTAATTTCGACAATAAGTTCGAATTAAAATTTTAAAAAAAAAAAACGATTGGTTTTGAAAAATAATTTCTTTCTGATAAGGAACATTTAGCTGAAATCCTATTACCGTCAAACAATACTAAGAAATATTTCGCGGTTTGCTTTTGCACGTAACGAAAAATCTGATTATTTTAATTTAAACTTATATGTAAAAGTTTTTGCCGTTTCTGTACTCTACCCAAATCTTAAACAAGATATTTTTTTATTTGTGTATGCAATATATAGATTATCTGTTGCAAATTGTGAATGATCTGAACTCATTAGGTTACGTCTTAATCAAGTATAATGTTCTGCCTGAATTTAAAAGTAATTTTGGAAAAAGAGTTGTCTAATTTTTCAAATCCATCGTTCAAATGATGAAATTCTCTTTTATTCACAACTCAAGAAGTATTTATGGGATCTCTCTGGTCCCATAGCTCAAAAATAAACTCCCCAACTTAATGCTAAACAAAATTGAAAGTGAAAAAAAGAATTCTAAAGAAATTATCAAACAGCAGCGGTCGCCATAGCAACGCATGCAATGACGACGCATGCGCACTGTTTACTATTACTCTTGAATACAGTTGAAAAATTTGATGACGTCCAAATAACACATGCCATCAAACCCAAAACAACACCCATTTTGCCAATGGGTAAAAAAATTGAGTTATATGTCCGAAAAAAAAATTAAGCCGAACCTTAGACATTTGGACAAAAAAAAGCCTTAGACAATGAAGAATTAAGAAAAAAAAAACAGCCTAGTCTGGAGACAACCAGCTTAATTTAAAATTGAAATTCCGCTTTAAAATGAAGGCAGTGACAGCAGGGGCTTATTTTTTATTTTCCACGACGAAGTAGTTTCGTCGAACATCATTAGATTAAAATGTATTCTAAAAGGCTAATCATGAGGGAAAAAACTATAAAATGTTATTAAAAAAATAATACTCACGTGGCGGGATGAAAAAGCGGTCTTTTTCGGTTCACCTGGTGTGGTTTCGGTTCTGATACCATATTCACGTCTGCAGAGCAAAAAAGAGAAAAAACCGAATCTCAAAAAATCACTCAAAAACATACAAAAAGTGTTTTACAAAAAAAATCATCCACATCTAAAATAAAAACAAGAAAAAAAGAGAATTGTTTGCATGGAAAGGCATTTAAAAATATCCACAAAAAGCAATTTCATGCAAGCATAAAAAGATATTTTGCTGACATTTTACAAAATAGAATACAAAACATTCGAAAAATATTTACAGGAAGAAAAGAAAAAAATCATTTCTTCTTTAAGATTAACAACATATCCTCCATTTATCAAAGGATAAAAAGTAGGGTAACAATGCGGGGGCAAAAATACATCACCCCTTTTTTTATATATATTTCCCCATGTATGAAAAGAAATGAACTAAAGAGAGAAGTAATTGAAATGTTTTGTTAAAAGAAAAGCTACACAGCCTTCTTTTGCATTTTTCTGTGATAGAAACGTAAACTAATGAACTATGCTTCCTATTGCCCCCGTCGTCATTTGCTCAAAAATTTCACTCCCCCCTCCACCTTTGCTCACCCCTGAACAAGTTTTGTAGCAGTTTCAAAGGGAAAAAATAGATTTACTGGAATCTTTAATTAAAACGGAAAAAAAACCTCTTCGAGAAAAACTCCTTGACTCTTTTTAAAAAAAAGAAAATATGAATAAGTTGTTTGGGGAAATGTTCAAAAATTTTAGAGAATGTCGTATACTACGATATATTATTTGCATTATAAATAAAATAGCATTTTTTTCATTCTCTTTTTTTTTATTCTCTTTTTTTTCGTTTTTGCTGTTTTTTTTTTTCCTTCCAAAAGACACCACTTTCTTCTAACATCGCTACAATTTTTATTTTGTAAACAAACCTAGTTTCATATCAAAAGCATGGTATGTTTTATTCATAGAGTTGCAATATTTTAGAAGTTTTACATATTCGGCATACATATTTAGAAAAAAAGTTTGAGTTTAGAATTCAATAGCTATATTTTAACAAGGAAACCTTAAAAAAAAATTTTTGTTTTTGAAATTGATAACAACTTTACTGATGGTTAAAAACAAATGACACGCGTATACTATTTCCCATTTTGCCATTATTCAAAAAGACATTTTAAGAAATCCTGTAATAATTCTCTTAAGTTCTTTAGTAAATATGTCTCACAACATTCTTGATCAACTGATGCCATTTTCAGTTTTTGACTGTTATCATTTCTGCTAGTTTTTAACCTTTCATTCATTTATAAGTTATAGCTCAGCTCTGTTTGTATCAACTTTTTTTGACTGCGCATTGTTTTTTTTTACAGTAATTTTGACAAGGAGTCGGAAAAAAGAAATTTTCAATTTGAACCAAATCGATTGAAAAATTTCTGAGCTATCACATTTTAAGAAGGTCGTAGATTTTAAACTTGATTTCTCATGAACTATTCGACCAATTTTGTTCAAATTTCTTATTTTGTCAATTAAAACTACATTTTATAAAATGATGTTAAAATTTGAATATCTTACAATTAAAAATTTATTTAAGTATTATTAAATAAAAATAATAAATAATTCTTAAAAATTATTTTTTGCATGGGATATTTTTTTTAGCAAAAGAATTGTATAAATATGTGCAAATTTTTCGATTAGTTTTAAAAGTTCTGGAGTTATGCCGAGATACGACAAAAGTAAAATTAACACTTTTCGTCTGCTCTTTAGACCACCCTATTATACCATATTTTCCAGATTCCGCCCCCCTAACCTAAGGTTAAAACGTTAAATTTGTCGAAACAAGATATGTTTATTCATATAAAGTGCATGTCGTGACTGATTGTTGTCTGCATGTTGTGACTTAAAATATCTTCTAAACTACTTAATTATCATATTTAGGGTTAAACCTTTGAACCATCAAAATCCTATTACTTAAGTTCTACTACATGAAAATCCGATCATTAGATCAAAAGTTAGTCAGGTTATTTATATATTTTGCACATTGTACAATTACAGCCAAGTTTCAAAATTAGCTTTTTATAAAATACATTAAAGTTACATGATAATTATTAAACGGGAATTGTTGCTAATAACCCTAAAATTACCATACCATAAAATATGTACCATAAAATATTTTATTTTGTAGAGTTGCACACCGACGGTGAACTTTGACATCACTTGTCTAGTAACAAGTTTCTACTCTATATCCACACCCTCTAGTGAGCAGTTTGTCTAAACTAAACTTTATTGAAAATCGTTTCTTTATAGCAGCTGTATATAAATTGTCCTTTTTTTATTTGATTTTTAAGAAATTAAATGATTAACAATAATCAATAACATTTTATATTTTTCTTGTGCCAGAAAAATCTGAAATTTGCAAATTTTACAGATGTTAAACACATTTTTTCTGAAATTTTTAAAGATTTACAATTTGCAAATTTTAAAATTCAAAAAAAAAAAACTCATATATTCTTAAAAATTACTTTTTTTACATCATTCTGAAATTCAAGTTCGTGTAATAAAAAAACACAATTCAAGTACTTGAGAAAAGTATATTTATATTAGTCACTGTTTAGTACAAACAATTATTCGAATTGAAGAATGCAAGGAGTGGAAAAAGAAAGATTCTTCTCTTGAGAGAATAATTGCAACTATTGAATTAAGTCTCGGGGATGGAATGTTTGCTTTATTCTATTCCATTTAACCAAGAATCCACTTGATTATCCGCTTTCACTGCCAATATTTTAGCATTCTATGTAATAATGTGATTAGGCGTGGGCAATAGGATCAAACGATTCCTTAATGGATGCGGTAGGTTAAATTACGCGTTGGAGAACAAATATACATTTACTATCAATTGTTCCTAGATAAATATTCTTTTAATTTAAAATACATCTCTGTTAACACTTAAATAAATGCAAAATCATAATACAGAATACTATGAAGTGATATTAGCTAATTTGCACTTTAGACTTATATCCTTGCTAAAAGCAATTTACACTGATAATAATTGATGCCTTAGAAAATATATTTTCAAAATATATATGATATGTTTTAGAAAATATTATTTCAATAATAATTAAGTTAACCTACTAATATACATTTCGCATCCCTTATTTCGAGATGAATATTGTCATAATTTGAAATATATCTGTGTTAACACTTAAATAAATGCAAAATCACAATACTGAATACTATGAAGTGATAATAGCAGATTTGCACTTTAGGTTTATATCCTTGCTAAAAGCAATTTACACTGATAATAATTGATGCCTTAGAAAATATATTTTCAAAATATATCTGATATGTTTTAGAAAATATTATTTCAATAATAATTAAGTTATCCTAATTACTAATATACATTTCTCATCCCTTATTTCGAGATGAATATTGTCATAATTTGAAATATATCTGTGTTAACACTTAAATAAATGCAAAATCACAATACTGAATACTATGAAGTGATAATAGCAGATTTGCACTTTAGGTTTATATCTTTGCTAAAAGCAATTTACACTGATAATAATTGATGCCTTAGAAAATATATTTTCAAAATATATCTGATATGTTTTAGAAAATATTATTTCAATAATAATTAAGTTATCCTAATTACTAATATACATTTCGCATCCCTTATTTCGAGATGAATATTGTCATAGTTTAAAATATATCAGTGTTAACACTTAAATAAATGCAAAATCACAATACAGAATACTATGAAGTGATAATAGCAGATTTGCACTTTAGGTTTATATCTTTGCTAAAAGCAATTTACACCGATAATAATTGTTGCCTTGAAAAATATATTTTCAAAATATATTGGATAGGCTTTAGAAAATATTACTTCAATAATAATTAGGTTATTATAATTACAAATACAGATTTACTATCCATTATTCCTAGATATTATAATTTAAAATATATCTCTGTTAATACTTAAATAAATGAAAAATCACAATACAGAATACTATGAAGTGATATTAGCTAATTTGCGCTTTAGAGTTATATCCTTGTTAAAAGCAATGTACACTGATAATAATTGATGCTTCAGAAAATAGATTTTCAAAATATATTGGATATGCTTTAGAAAATATTACTTCAATTATAATTAGGTCATTATAATTGCACATGTACATTTACTATCCATTATTCCCATATGAATATTGTTTTAATTTAAAATATATCTTTGTGTTAATAATTAAATGAATGCAAAATCACAATACAGAATAGTTCGAAGTGATATGAACTGATTTGCACTTTAGTTTTATAACCTTGCTAAAAGCAATTTACACTGATGATAATTATATTTCAAGCAAAAAATTAGTTTCATTTGTTTAACGATGAAATAAGTGTTTGGGATATGCTTTAGAAAATATTACTTCAATAATAATTAGGTTATTATAATTACAAATATACATTTACTATTCCTTATTCCTAGATGAATATTGTTTTTATTTATAACATATCTGTGTGTTAATAAATAAATAAATGCTAAAACTTAATACAGAATAGTTTGAAGTCATAATAGAAGATTTGCACTTCAGATTTATATCCTTGCTAAAAGCAATTTACCATGATAATGATTATATTCCAAGTAAAAAATTTGTTTAATTTGTTTTAACGTTTTAGAAAATATTATTTGAATAATACATACTAGGTGTCGTAATAGTTTTTGGTGTGCGCGTGGATTAAATGATAAATTCAGAAACTAAATCATTATTCTTGATAAGCGTTAGTTTAGAATCCCCCTTAATCTTTATCTAATTTGAGCTTTGGATTGAATTTACTTTGATTGATTACTTTGAAAGTAAATCAAGATGTTGCACAAAATAATTAATCACCCATAATTTTGTTTTCTTTTAACAGGAAAATAAATTAATGTACCAGGATCATTTTAGGAAACGATATCTCTGATTATTACATAGATATCATTTTTGTTTAAAAAAAACTACACAGATGAATAAAAGTCATAGAAGAACATGCGTTAAATGAATAAAATATTCAAAAGACAAAATATTTAAGCAATATGTTATA